TTCAAACGCAAGGATCAAGGCTTCCTGGCGTTACAGCAACATCCGAGTCTCCACTGCATTGGATCTCGATCTGGGCGGTGAAGGTACTGCTCATTCCTTCCTGTTAACCAATTGTCTTCTCATATCTCTGCCTAACCCACCTTATCTCAATCCTTTGTACCAGTTACTCTAACACGTGACTTGAAAAAGTCAAACGATAACATGGTCGTCCATGGCAAGCTCATCGTCCAGCTCTCCACCAACACTTCCACCCCTATCCGTAATCGTCCTCAGCCCGTGCCACCCTCGAACGAGAGCTCGTCTAGCCTTAATGGTACTAGCAACCCAACCGCCGGCCAATCGAGTGCTCTCACTTCTGCCTCTCCATCTCCTGCTGCTGCCCCCGGCTCTACCTCCAGCACTAACAGCGAGCTCACCAGCCCCGCTCAAGCCCCACTGACCACCGCTCCTTCTACCTCTACCAGCAGCACTGCGGGAACCATGACTAATCCCTCGAGCGTTACCGGCAACTCGAGTACCAACAGAAATTACTCGACCACCGAAGATCAGTATGGCCCTCTACCCACTGGCTGGGAACGTCGAGTTGACCATTTAGGTAGAACATACTATGTCGATCACAACACTCGGGCCACCACCTGGACTCGTCCACCCCGCAGTACGGAAGCACAACTTAATCAGGCCAACGCTGCCCAAGCCAACGATCGACAGCGAATGAATACTCGGGCTCTGGCTGATGATCTACTTGCCGAAGGTGCCACCTCGACTAGTAGCTCTACTGCCATCACACCTCACTCTTCATCCGCTTCGCCATCTCCTAGTGAATCTGCCACTCCGGCCACAGTTACCCCCGCACCGGCAGCCAGCTCTGGATCAGGTCCCACCTCGACCGTCCAGGGCGGCTCGACTACCGCTGGCTGGGGGCCACTCCCAGCAGGTTGGGAACAACGTTTTACACCCGAAGGTCGTCCATACTTTGTTGATCACAACACGAGGACGACCACCTGGGTCGACCCTCGACGTCAACAGCTATTGCGAGTTATGGGCCCCAACGGGAATAACGTTCAACCACAAGCAGTATCTCAACTTGGTCCTCTTCCGTCTGGATGGGAGATGCGACTGACCTCAACCGCCCGTGTTTATTTCGTTGACCATAACACTAAGACTACCACTTGGGATGACCCTCGTTTGCCTAGTTCACTTGACCAGAACGTGCCCCAGTACAAACGTGACTTCCGTAGGAAACTCATCTACTTCAGATCTCAACCCGCCTTGAGACCTAACCCTGGTCAATGTCATGTCAAGATCAGGAGGAGTCATATTTTTGAGGATAGTTATGCTGAGATCATGAGACAACAGCCCAACGATCTCAAAAAGCGCCTCATGATCAAGTTTGACGGCGAAGATGGACTCGACTATGGCGGGGTTTCTCGGTACGTTACCCCATTCCATTATTCTCTTTTCTAGAGACTGTGATCTAAACGCTCCACCCTCCTGCTTCTGTCCCTTGTAGAGAGTTTTTCTTTTTGTTGTCACATGAGATGTTCAACCCATTTTATTGCCTATTTGAGTACTCTGCTGTCGACAATTATACCCTCGTAAGTTTTCGGTTTGACCTTTCGAGGATCTAGATCTTCTTTCCACTAATCCTCTTTCTCTCCCTTTGTATAGCAAATCAATCCCCATAGTGGCGTGAACCCGGAGCATCTAAATTACTTCAAATTTATTGGTCGAGTTCTCGCTCTGGCTATCTTCCACAGGTCTGTTTGAAGTACTCTCATTTGTCAATCTTGAATCTCATAGATTGACTGGGCTTTCCTTTCTATTTAGACGTTTCCTGGATGCCTATTTCATTACGAGTTTCTATAAAATGATTCTCAAGAAGAAGATCGCCTTAGCTGATATGGAAAGCGTAGATGCTGAGATCTTCAGGTCATTGACATGGATGCTGTGAGTATCGTTTCTTTGGACCCAGTTTGAAGAATGATTTTTTGAACAAGAATTTGATTACCAGGGAGAATGATATTACGGATGTGATAGAGAATTCGTTTTCAGTGGAAGATGAGAAATTCGGAGAAGTAGTGACGATAGATCTGCGGGAAAATGGAAGGAACATACCAGTGACAGAGGCGAACAAGAAAGATTACATTGAGTTGATCACTCAATGGCGGATCGAGAAGCGAGTAGCCGACCAATTCAAGGCGTTTTTGAGCGGCTTTCACGAGCTGATCCCGCAAGAATTGATCAATGTGTTTGATGAACGAGAGCTGGAGCTCTTGATTGGTGGAATGTCGGATATCGACGTGGATGATTGGATCAAACATACCGATTATCGCGGGTATCAGCCCGATGATCAAGTCATTAAATGGTTTTGGCAGGCCGTTCGAGCTTGGCCTGCTGAGAAGAAATCCCGCTTGCTTCAATTCACTACCGGTTTGTCGTCTCCCTCTTTGATTTTGAGGGTTTCCCTGCTCTCTGACACAATTTGTTTCTTGTTACGTTATTAGGTACTTCTCGAATCCCTGTTAATGGGTTCAAAGACCTTCAAGGCTCTGATGGACCTCGTCGATTCACTATCGAAAAGGCGGGCGAAATCACTCAGTTACCGAAGTCTCATACTTGCTTTAACCGACTCGATTTGCCCCCGTATCCTAATTTCGATCAGTTGAGTCCTTCTCTCTTTTTTCTCTGCCTTCCGTTGGCTCGTGTTTGTTTGCTTCATTACTCATGTGGGATGATTTTTTTTTCCCTTGGGTTTGATTAGATTGGAACAGAAGATTAGTTTTGCTATCGAAGAAACTCTAGGTTTGTTATCTTTCTTGCGTCTCTTTGTTAGATAGTTGGATTTCAGATCCACTCAAATTGAGTTCTTGCTTTTGGTTTTCCAGGGTTTGCGGTCGAATGATGGGGTGTGCTTACAACATATGTGTACATGTATATGTACTGTATCTATTGTATCTATGTAAATCTGGCGATGGCGGGTGGTCGGTCCAAAAGATGTTGAAGGTGATGATGATGATGATCGTGGTGGTAGTGGTAGTAGTATGGAAGATATTTATTGTAGAAAGAGTTCATACATATGAAAGATTTTTTTCGTTTCTTTTCAATTTACAAGAAGATTATGCATATACATTATTACTTGGTCTGGTTCCCAATCCATCCAGATCATCGTCCGTTGTCTATATACTCTCCATCAACCTCGATTTGGATTCTATTTTTTTTCGCTTCATTAAGTTGACTTTGCAGCTGATCAGCGCAAGAGTTAGAAAGATTTATTTATTGTTGAAGTCATCAACAGTTCTTTTTTTTCATAATCTTTCTCGAAAAAAAAAAAAAACAATCTTTCTGGACCCTGGTGGATCCTGCAGGTGCTTTCAAGTGCAGGCTCAATACATGAATAAACCTTCTTGATTAAAGAAACTGAAAAAATAGAAAACAAGACAAGAGAAATTGATTAGAAATAATCAATTCAGATATCTGGAAAATGTGAACTCTTTCTTCTAATCATGCCAACAAAACCAAATCAGAATCCCTCCTTTGTTATCCCCTCTCATCATGCATTTTTTGTTTGTTTTCCTTTTGCAGTCCTACAATAGCTTTGTTTTTCTTTTTCTTTCTTGTTGTTATCATATATTGACATATAGTTTTTTTTTTTAAAAAAAAATTGTTTAATTCATGTCTTTGTCAACCTAATTTGCTGGTCATTCACATCAAATCATAACCAGTTCCTATTGATGTGGTTTGTGATAATGATGATTATTATTCTCACAAACTCGCTCACTCGAGCTACATGCACTAGGGTCTAGTGAGTTTGGAGGTGACCCAGTAACTGGGTTACAACACCCCCCCCCCCCCTCACCTAGACACTAGGCATACTATGTACAACAAAAGAGAGTAAATTAAAATAGAGTAAATGATAATGAAAACTGGTCTCATCCCCAACTATGACCCTAAGAGATGGTGCCTAAGGCGCTCAAAAGGTTCCCTAGTCAGGGATTTAGTGAGAATATCAGCCAACTGCTCTTTTGTCGGGATCCATGTTAGTTCTGTCTTCTTTTGATACAAAGCCTGATTGGTGACATGAAACTCCCGATCTGTGTGTCTGGCCCGTTTGTTCGAGGAATCATCCGTACTTATCTTGACCGCTGATTGGTTGTCGCAGAAGAGATTTCCTTTGAAATCCTTTCGGAGTATATCCTTCAACAGGTGTCTTACCCAAAGAACTTGTTGTGTCGCTATTCCCAGCGCCATATATTCAGCCTCACAAGTAGAGGCCGCCACAGTTGCCAGTCTTCGGGACGACCACAGGATAGGGCAACCTAAAAAGGTCACAAAGATTCCGTAAGTTGATTTGGAGTGTTCTCCCCCCCAGGACGCATCGCAGTAGCACTTCAAAGCCTTGGTATCGTTGGTTGGTCGTAATACTAGTACCTGGTCCCTTGAGTGTGCTAGGTAGTTCACCAGATGCCGAACTCCCTTCCAATGGGACGGTCCAGGCGACGCCGAAAACCTTGCCAAGAAATTGACTGCAAATGATAAGTCCGGTCTCGTACCTACTGCTAAATAACTAAGAGACATGACAATAGAGAGGTAAGCAGTAGACGTGTTTGGATCCCCATCCTGTGTGGAATTGATATCAACATTAGCAGGTAAGGGCGTCTTAGCGGTTGTGAAACCATCCCAATGCGAGTCTAGAATCTCTGTTATCAACTTCTTTTGGCTGAGGGTGAAAGCACCCGGTGAACGTGTCACATCTACACCTACGATTGAGTCAAGTGATACGCTCCATTTGATCTCAAGTTTACCTTCAAGAGAAGTTTCAAGTTGCTGCAGAATTTCAATGGAGTCGCCTGTTACTATGCCATCGTCGACATGTATCCATATCACTCCGACCTTCGACGGATCCTGTAGTACATATAGGCTGGTGTCATAATGGCTGGCTGAGTACCCTAGATCTAACAGAATGTTCTTCAAATGCAGCCACCAGCATCTTGCTGCCTGCCTTGTCCCATATAGTGCCTTCTTCAGTCGCAGTCCTTCTCCCGGTCCCAGTTTCATGCCTTCTGGTGGCTTTATCCAAATCTCTTCATCGATGTCGGAGTTCAGGTAAGCTGCCACAAAGTCAAAGGAGTGAACTGGCCAGTTGTGTGCCGCTGCTAGTGTCAGTACTAATCTCATAGACATAAAGGTTGCTGTGGGGGCAAAAGTCTTTTTGAAATCAATATCCTTGACTTGGGTAAAGCCCTTTGCCACATATCGCGCTTTATACCTGGTTATTGTACCGTCCTGCGCAGTCTTGATTGTGAAAACCCATTGCCCATCAAGTTCTTGTTTTGGGGAATCCATGAGTTTTACTTCCCACACTTGTTTCCTGTCGAGGTTGCCTAGTTCTTCCTCTACGGCCATTTTCCACCTATCCCAGTCAGACGATTTCTGAGCCTGTTTGTATGTCTTGGGGATTCCTGCCGAATAAAAGCCACAGTTGATGATAATGTCGTCAACCAGTCTTTCCTCCTGTTCGTACGCAAGCTTGTGAGAGAAGTCGCCTAAAGAAACAATATTACTTTTCACGTCAATTGTCAGTGATGTCTTTAGTTGCCTGTTCACTTGATCAGTTGTCAGCATGGGTGTCCCAGGTATATCTTCAAATGTAGCCCAGGCGGATGTCACAAGTTTATCCGTCTCTGGGACCCAGAACATCCAGCCTTTGCTCTCGCCCAAGTGGGAGATAACATGCGCTTTGAATGCATGATCAGCTAGCTTGTCTCTTTTTTCGGGAGGTTGTAGAACATAAGCAACACCTCCAAAGATTCAAGCTTTATCTACCTGTGGTTTGATTTTGAACAGGACTTCGTAAGGTGTCTTGTCCCCACTTGTCTTGTTGGGAAGCCGATTGAGGGTCCACGAAGCCCATTCGAAAGCAAAACCCCAGAAGCGTTGCGGTAGCTTGCTGTCGCCCAAGACTGTTCTTCCCATGTCCGATACGGTCCTGTTGAAACGCTCGACGACCCCATTCTGGTAGTGGTGATAAGGTAGACTCCTCTCCGCCCGTATACCTTTGGTTGTCAAGAAGGTGCCTAACGCCTTGTTCGCGAACTCTCCACCGTTGTCGCTTCGTAGTACCTTGACTTTCAGCTCGGTCTGTAGTTCCAGTCTGTTAATTGCGTCTATAATGTGCTTGTTAGCCTCAGATTTATTCGCCATAATTTTAACTTCATTATAGCCAGAACCTAAATCTTTGATCGTTAGCACATAGCGACCTTTGTGGTAAGTCTCAATAGGGAAAGGTCCCATCAAATCAACGTTAAGAATCTCAAGTGGCTTAACCGACCTATTAGACCGTTGAAGGGTGCCGGTCCTGTTGCTTTTGTGTATTGCACACACTGGGCAGCGTAGTTGTCCCGCGGGTATCTTCTCAGGTAGGCCAAACGCTGCTTGTTGTTTTACCAAACGTCTGATGACTCTTAGACTGGCATGCCCGAAAACTCGATGCCAAAGCAATAGTGTGGCCTCGTCCTTGGTAAGATCTTCTGGTCGCCATGTGAAGCTGGGTGATATCTCCAGGGGTGACTCAAAAAGCTCCTTCTCAGTGGTCTTCACAGCCAAGCCGGTGGGTCTGGTTATATGCTTGGAGTCAACATTGTTAGTATTTTCATTGCATTGCTGTTTATCGACAAGTTTTGAAGCAGGAGAGACATGAGAAGATGAAGGAATTGACAAAGCAGGTTGGTGAAAGGATTTTGGTAGTGAACAAGGAGAAACAGGGGAATGAAGAGAGGCGGAAAGAGAAATTGTAGATGCGGGTTCTCCAGATGGGTTTGGGGGAAGTGGCCGAGGCAGGCACCATTTATTGGTAGTTCTGCGGAACTGGCAGCTGAAAAGCAGAAGCCAATGAGGGGAAAATATATGGAAGGCATCCTCTACGTGATTGTAGAGGAATTTAGAGTTAGCCTTTCTCAGAGCTGCCAAAGAGATGAGAGTTGATGAGGCTTGCTCACAATAAAGCACTCCTCTAAGAATTGCGATTTGCCCATTCCGGGTCGGAAAAGAGAGGTCCCCAGCCCCTGTGATAAAGGAACCGCCTCCTTTAGTGGCCACACGCAACGCTTCCACAGATACGGTATCTGCCCGTATCTGCCATGTATCACTATGTATCTGAGCCCCAATAAAAAAAAACTATCTGACCAATCCGCTTTTATTTGCAAGGAGATTCAACAAATTTGGTTTTTGGCCATGCAGCTTTGCAGAATTCTCCATGATACACACAGCGTATCGTATCTGTGGCAGCGTTGCCACACGGAGGGGAATTGGATTTTTTAGGAGACAAAAGTTTCTGAGTGCGTACCTGTTACCAGTCAAGTGATGTGTGGCTCCAGTGTCCAACACGGGTTCATCACCGTCATCCAGAGTGATTTGGCGAAAATTTGGTATCACCCCATCCTGAAGACCTTCATCGAATACCCCGATCTCAATCATCCTCGACGTTGACTCTAGGATCGGAGACGGTGGGTGGTAATACCCGTGGGTCGATTGGGATTGATCTGGTTCTGGTGGATCAGGTGGGTTGGGCACATCAGCTGAGTTAGCTGAGGTCTGACTGTGTTGTCTTGATGTTTGGGTCGGGGGTCTCTGTCGGTAGTCGGGTCGGTACGAGTCGGCTCGCTTCCCAGCTTGTTGTCCACCGGAAGCGGATAACGGAGGTGCATAGGGTGACGGAGTCGATTGGAAACCTCGATGCTGATATCCCGGCGGGGTGACAATCGGGTACCACGCCTGGAAGTTTCCAGGCGCTAGCACCGGAGCGTTGTTTGATCTGTATCCACTAGAAAGATGAGGTGGTTGTCGAGTCGCATTGAACGAAGAAGGGGGTCTGTCAAAGTCTGCCCGCCTCGGGAGACGACATTTGCTGAGCAAGTGGTCAGTCGATCGACAGTTCCAGCATTGGGGACCCGTTGTCGCCAAGCCTTCCACCTGCTCGGATTGAGTATCCCAGGTTTGAGGGTCGTAGAACTCTTTCGCTTGATCGGAAATGGTTACGGCCGATTGATGCGCTTGTGGCAGGGAGCTGGAGAAGGTATTCGCACGTGATGGACCTAAATCAAGTTGTCTCTTAACGATGTCAATGTGTTTCAGGATCTGATCCGGTGTGACTGCTTTCCTCGACAGCGTCTTGCTGGAGCCGCCCAGGTCCTGTTCAACTCGGCGATCCACTTCTTTGCGTAACTCGGTACCAGGCTCGATGGAACTCTGTAGCGCAAGGCCTCCAATCATTTCACGGTTGATCTCTAGTCCAAAACTGACAAAGTCGTCGAGTGTCTCATAGAGTTTGGTTACGGCTTCGGCGCTGCTCGAAAAATCAGACATCTTCAGGTTGATCAATTTGTCCCAGCACGACAACTGTTCCGCTCGAGTTACCGTGAAAAATCTCGAATTCAGATACGCAAACATTTCAAGGCAGTTAGGTTGGCGTAACATGCTTCGGTGCATGTTGCTTTCGACGGTCGCGAGGAGGAGTGATCGACCTATTTGTTCCTGGACTGGATCCACGCACGGTTTAGTGTACCACGTCGGGTTGCTGAAAATCTCGAGAGCTCGTTCTCTCATCATCAGCTCCCAAACGGCGAAGTTGGACCCGTTAGGCTGGAGTTTATCAGCATTCGACATCCTGGAGACGGCGTTGGATACGATTTGTCCCGGCGTCTTCCCTTGGTAGAGCGACTGGACGGACGCCTCCGCTAGAAAACGGTTGACTTCATTGGCGGTGTATATAGGGACATCGCCATCGTCCTCGTCATCTCGTCGGCGATTGTTTGGGCGATCTCGTGGAGCATTGCGGCTCCTGCTCCGGGAATGTTGGTGGTGGGAACCGGGTCTGTTGTCAGCATTGATGGCCAACGCCGTTGGTGAGTTCCGAGAGTTAGGACAATGAGGGTCGTTGTGCCACAGATTGTTGGTCTGGGGGGGGGGAATGTGTGTTGCGGATGTCGGAAGCCATAGGATTTGGTGAGGAAAAGAAGGGGAAAAATAAAGGAGGGAAGAGGGAACAATGGGGATGAGGAAAAAGGGAGAAATTTGAAGATGGAAGAGTGTGGTCGGGAGGAAGGTTGAGAGGAAAAAGGAGAAATAAGAAGGGATGGGGAAAAGATGTGATAGGTGAAGATAGGGGAAAGAAAGTGAAGATTGCGGGGAGGGATGGTGGTATCGGAGAAGATGAGGAAAAGGAAAAGCAGAAAAGGTTGACTGGGAGGAGAGATCGATTGAAGAAAGGAAGATGATCGACAGTTGTTGTAGCTTTCAAGCGGAGAAAAAGAGAAAAACTGTAGCGCTTTCGTTATAGCCTCGCTTGTACGAACGTCGGCCCCCTAGGTACCAAGGTATCGGGACGAGGTAGCTAGTCTCTGGCTTCCGAACGTACTTGCTACTTTCAAACTAGGCGGTCCGGCCAATTCTAAAACTCCCCCCTACGCTGGGTATGACGGTCGATGACGGTTTGAATTTGCTGAGTTTTCCGGACGAGTGTTTCTACCCTACGCTGGGTTGTTATTTGAGAGTGTTGTTTGAGAAAAAGAAAAAGAAAAAAAAGATTCGATTCGCCCTACGCTGGGTAATGATAAAGGTTTGTCGAAATTTTGAGATGAGGGCTCATGACCTGATGTGGTTTGTGATAATGATGATTATTATTCTCACAAACTTGCTCACTCGAGCTACATGCACTAGGGTCTAGTGAGTTTGGAGGTGACCCAGTAACTGGGTTACAACACCTATCAGCTAACCATTCCATTGCTTCAATATACAAAATCATGCCAAGGATCTTGGTTGATCCTCATATAATTCTTCTCTGTTTTCAAGTGCCTTTCTTCCTCCCTCTCGATGTTAGCTTTTTTGAGGTTTGTTTCGCCAGGTCTTGACGTTGGCCCTCCGGTGGAGTGGGTTCTTTCAGGCTACGGTTTTACCTAACTTAACTAAGTACCTCCGGCAGTTTCATCCGATGGCTTGTTCGGAGGGTCCCTGCGGGACGGCGTCCCCCCTCCGAATAGAGAGGGACTTAGTTAAGTTAGCGGTTTTACCAGATTACATATTGTGACCTGAGACTGGTTGACCCACCTGCGCTGAGAACACCATACAATCTACGCCGGAGTTTATCAACACCGACCGTATTTTTTGCAATTCGACTGCCCTATGAGACAAGAACGAGGTTTGATTTATTTGAGGATACATAGGGCCGTGGGCGACCTGCAAGAGGGGGTGCAGGGGGGTGCCCATCCCTTGTTCAAGCTCAATCGTCGAACATGTGAAGCTTGATCATATCCGTGTTTTCTTGAAACATCAAAAGAAGGATGAAAGTTGCACATTTCTTGTTTGGAGTTGAGCGGGGGGAAAATTCCTAAAACTATCCAACCAGACAGTAGTCCATCAGCTGCACAAATAGATTGGTTCAATCACTTCCGCCCATGTTTTCTGCAGGAAGCAGCGGTCATCTTTCACCTAGCGATATGTTCATTTTATCAACCAAGGCGATTCCGGCGCCAAGAAAACTGCTCTCGCAAATTATCTTGTTAGGATTGATTGCGAGGAAGATCTGCGCCACATTCCCGAAAATTTTGGCGCCTGATTTCGATGAGTTCCTCACTTCCAGGGGTCGTACGTTGGGCACTGTTTATCCCAATCTTACATACAGCAATATTGGTTGACGCGAGGTCTTCCCAAAATTTGACGATTTGATTTTCTAGATGCCTCAGCACAGGTTGAAGAGTCGAGAAAGCTTTCAATGACAGAAATCGTCCAAGGTGAGTTCAATAATCAGCTGGATTTCAATTTTGCATCCGTCACTAACAAAGATTGATCATTAGGGATCAATGGCTATCCCCATACTTCTCAACATGATGCTGCTCCAAACCAAGTCACGGCAGCAGACGAGCGGCAGACTAGCGTCATCCTAGGGCAGCTTGGGACAAAAAGAACGGCACCAATGCTTGACTTTCCCGAAGGCGAAGGTGGGCCTTGATCATCTATTAGCTGGATTCGATGATCTTGCTTCTAGTTAACCAGAACGGAAAAGATTAGGAACTAGCGACAAACGCGCTCGAAATTCTGAAAATAATGGTTTTCATAGAGTAACAGCAACAGGTGAGACTCAGAAGAAGCTCGATAAGTAAATTTACACTGATAGTGCTTCTCCACTGAAATCCCCCCTTTTCTTGGCTCATCAAACTGAACATTAGGATTTAGCGACGAGCACCCTCCCAATTCGGAACACTCCAATGGTCACGATCAAGTGAGGTCAACAGGTGAGATAAAAATTAACGGGGAAGTCCATATATGTATAGCTTGTTCACATCATTCTTCTATGTCTTATCTGACAGATCCAACGCAGAAATCGAAGTCTGGGCCGGAAGGAGGCTCGACCAGTTACTCGCCAATAGATCCAATCACAGGACTTGGCACGTCTACTGACCTCACCAATTCAAAAATCCGGCAAGATTTCGAAGATCGAGTGATGAGACCTTTATACGAATGTGATGTTGATTCCTTGGCCCTCCGTCTCAAAGATGAAGCTGCAGAGAATTTCGGGATCCTGGCGAGGGATCTTGTGAATCAGTTCGGCAGGATTGTTGATGGTTTACCAACCCCTGCTGTCAACCACCAGCCAGGGACCCTAAACTTGGAGCTATCATTGGCACCTGCACAACCTTTTCCGAAGAACTTCGATCGTGTGGGTGGACGTATCTCCAGGAGAATGTCGGGATTTTGGCACCTTTTACAGAATGACGATCACTTCCATCCTGACATCTCCGAGCCCATCCCAAGTCAGCAAACAAGTAAAAAAATCAATCGTTGGGTAATGATGTTTCGATTAAACGACATTTGGGTCGAGTTCCTCGCAATTTCAGCTCAGCATAATCTCCTCAGTCGCAATCTTTTGCACAGTTTTCTGAATGATGTAAACGCAGAGCACAGAATATCTAATTGGGTGATGGGTAAATTTCTCCCCTTCTTCGATATCACAACAACATACCTATCTTATGACTTGAAGCTAGCCTTGGAAGAAAGTCGATTTACTGCAGATATTCATAGTCTCTTGAAACGTCAGTCAGCAGCTTTTTTAATTTCCTTTTAATGGTTAACCCAATCACTTGATTCAAAAATCGAAGCTTAATACTTCTCTTCAACGGTTGCACCATCATCAGACTTGAATCCAAGCACTTGGCAGGCGGTAGTACGGACGATTCTGATTGCACAAATCAAAACCGTGTCATACAACCATGAAAAACAACCAAGGATTAATGAGCTCCTCGAATTGCTCATCAAATTTGAAAAAGCCAGCCCACTTGACAGGAAAACATCCTATAAATCTGTCCATGATTCCAGAGTGATCGCTTTTGTCACAAGTTTGATCAACCACATTATGGAAACACCTGAAGCTAAAAGACGGAGACATGCTGGGAATGGCGTCCTTGACCAATTCGAGGTACTGAGGCATTATTACTTGAACAATATGTCACAATACATGTTGCAATATCACATCCGAGATGTTTCAGATGAAAACATGGCCAAGCTCAGAGAGAAAAGCGTTTACCCACAACTCCAAGCGTACGATGAGGCAGCAATGCTTTATTCGGATGCGCTCAATTCAGCCTATGCCAAATATGGGGAACTCCTTCTGAAATTGCCAGAAATTGAGCTAGAAGAGAAAAGAACTGAACTACCAGGATTCCGACTAATTTATTTAACTAACAGAAGCCAAAGAAATCATGCTTTGATATTTTCTTTGGGGAGGGACGAAGAACTTCCAGTGAAATACGACCAACCAATCCCGACGGAAGGCTTTATCGGAATCGAGAAGCCCAATTATAGGCTCAGACATCTGCTTGATCGGGATCGCAATTCTTATCCTGTTTGGCGGAAAATCATGGATGAAAATCATCGAGAATCCAAGTCCCTTCATCCAATGCCCTCGACGATTTCCTTCCTTGAAGAGGAGAGTCGGCAAATTAGATTCACACTTCAAGAGATACTTCCCCGGCTTCCCCTAGGAGAACAAATTTCCAAATTGGAAGAAATGTTAAAATACCCTTTTTATGAGGATAATCGGTAATTAAATAAAGGATATTAACCTTCATGCTCAACCTTTCTTCAGTTTCTAATAGCCTTCAAAAAAATGATTCTGTAGAAGATTTTCAACATTCAAAAAAAAAAAAATCAGTTGGGATGTTCCAAATTACAAGATTGAGAATTAAGAGCAGATTAATATGATTGTGATCTTGCTTGTTTGCATGAAACAATTTCTGAATCCTGGAAAAGCACCTTCCACAATTTGTGATACATACATATCAATATGAGTCAAAAATCCAAAATTTGACTAAAATAATGATCAGCTAGAACATGCTTTTCTATGTAAGTGGATCAATTCCAAACCAATTAAAAGCAGAAAAAGAATTACATAATTCTTCTAGCAAAAATCACAGGCTTGCTAATGCGGATTACAAAGAGGATTAGAACAGACTACAAATGGCAGTCCAAAGATTGTGAGCACAAAGCTCCCAGCTGCAAGGGTGATTTCATTGGGGTTCAGATTGCCAGGGACCAGCAAGCATCACTCCCATATTTTGAGGCGCACATGAATAGGGGTGATTATGCAAACTGTGGTGGCCTGAAACATCAGCTTCAAGTTTGAGGAAGCTTGTGTGAAGCATCTGAGCTTGCAAAACCCAAGAGTGAGCCAGTTATGCTAATTGAAGTGTTAGTGTGGCATGACCCAGCAGAATTCCACTCAACTTTAGTGTACACAGCCTGGTGTATTGAAAAAAAGTTGGAGGACCTGGTGGCACACCAGCTCTAAGTGCAGCTTTACAACCACTAAAGCTGCCATTGGGTCCCAAGGTCACCAAGGTGCTAATGTACCTTACTTGATGGCATCAAAGGCTATCATGGGGCCACCAGCCACTCACCCAGGATATGGTGGTGGGGGGTACCAGGGTGTGGTCACCTAATACCTTCAGGCGCCGGATCGACCTACAGGCTGCCTTACAGCAGTTCCCAGAAAGCTTGCTGTCGCAAGCTCCTGGGATCCCAATTTTTTTTTATTTGTGCCTCAAGTTTTCTTTGCTTTTCTGTCCTGTACATGGCCTTGTACAGCCATAAAATTCCAGGCATCATGGTCCAACTCCCCTATTTTTCAAGTTGAAGATATGGGAGTTGGACCATTGGATTCCTCTCATTTTTTTGAGTCGGAGGCAGCCATCACACCTGCTTTACCCAGCCCCCACCAGGCAACTGACAGGTGCCCGGAGGCCTCACCCGGCCTCAGCAGAAGATTCGTAACCTGTACAGTCATGTGTACAGGTTTACGAGGCGCAAAAAAAAGTGAAAAAAAATCAGTTCCCAGGAGCTTGTGAGCACAAGCTTTCTGGGAACTGCTGCATGTCATTTGTGAAGCCGTCCCCCCCCCCCCCCCCGTGCTGTGGGTTTCACAAGCTGAATTGTCACAGATTATATAATTCGAAGCATTCATTCAATCCTGTTGGGTCTCACTGGCTGCTTTCACACATGTCTCTTAGATGTCACTACATGTGACATATCACTTGTTGTCTAGTCCTGGAGCAGCAGTTGTGGAAGGATCTCTCCTCATCCTTCCACAACCACCTCTTGACACCGCACTGTGTCTTGTTGCTCAAGGTTAGTCTCTTTGTTCTATCTCCCTCTTTTTGTCTCTCTCCCTTTTTCTCCTTTTGTTTCTTTGTTTCATTTCTTTTCCTTTGCTGATGAAATGAAGATCCTTCCACAACCACCTCTCAACACCACACTGTGTCTTTCCGCTCCATTCCTGAGTCCCAGTCTAGCTCATCAAATCCCTTCCAGCCTTTTCTCCCCAGCTCAGTAGTGATGACTGATTCTCCATTATCTGATCTAGCCTTAAATGAAAGTAAAAGATATACTTTGTTCTAGAATCTCTGAAAGATGCTAGTATTACATGTGCTGCTAGTGAAGAGCCCCACCTCTTACATCATTCCCCAGGGAAGAAGCAGGCAGCATCAATACACCAAGGCCTCTGGGGTGCCCAAAAGTTGTCTCAGAGGGCTGGATGGCCATGTGGTTGCCATGATGGGCACTGATTGAGTGGCACCCTTGCAGCTGCCCTGAAGGGTGTCTTTGTGTCAACCTGCCGACCAGGCCAATGTGAAGAATTCTTACTCTCTCAGTCCTGATTGGATCAATGAGATTTTGGGTGAAGCATTAAGCAGAATGTTCCCAAAACGTTTTTTTTATCAGAGCGCCAAGTGCTTATCCCAAGAGAGATTTTGGGTTGAAGGTCCACTCTTCTGGTCCTTCAGATATGTCTTGCTGGCTTTGTGGTTAAGTTGACTGTTCCATCAGCAAGTTGTGTCTAGCTGCAGATTTGAGCCTGGTGAGTTTGACCCTATCTGGGTGGGTCTTTTTTTGCTGAATGTGTCTTGCGCGATGGCATTGGTACACCATAGTGATAGTACGGTACTCCTGGCATCCTCATGCTGCCATCAGGCATGCCCACATGGCCATCATGCTTGTAAGGTGCCACAGGACATTGCCTTTGAGGCCTCACCATGGCGCCAACGGGATGTGTGGCAGAACAGTGGCTTGGAGGTGTCCCCAACCTGCAGGGCAGCAATAGCACCAAGAGGGACACCTACCGGGTGTGTAGCATAGCGGAATTCTGCCATGCCTGTGCTAACACTACCTGTGCAGGGCCTTCTGGCCTAATGCACTGGTTAGCAGTGTGAGGACTCCTTTGGGATGGGTGGCAGTCCTGCAAGGGGAAATAGCAGATATAATATTTCAGGCATGTAGGAAGCTTTTACAACTTCTACAGGTGGCTTGAAAGAACTTTTGCTCTATTGTACTACACAAGAATTCTGACAACAAATTTATTTGATTGTTGTGGCAAAACCTATGATAGAAAAAAACTAATATATTTAGTAGTATCTAATCAAACATAGATCAATGTGGATTCAGAAGAAGACTAGGGAACAGTGTGGCTGGCGCCACAATTCTAGGACTCTAAGGTAATTACCGGAACAAAAAACATACATCACTATATAATCATTAGAAATCAAATTGTACGCTTCCTGGTCGGTAGATGCCTATTTAACAATGGTTTATTGACGACATTCATTGTACAACCTGGTTTCTCATTTCCGAGTAATCCAATGGCCAGACTATCTAAAGACGTCGCCCTGGACAGGGCCACATACAACTGCCCATGAGCAAAACATGGACGCGGCAAAAAAACACCTACTTTATCTAACGATTGGCCCTGACACTTGTTTATGGTCATAGCAAAGGCCGTGCTTATTGGAAATTGATATCGAGAAAAGGACGCGCCGAAGTCGAGGTCTGGTTCATGGATTAGAGTTACTCGAGGGATCAGATGAACCTTACCCGTGTGAGGTCCAAAAAGAATTTCAGCTTGGATGATGTTAGGTTGTAAATCCTTGATTATCATTTTTGTACCGTTTGCGAGCCCATCCTCTAGACACAGGTTCCGCAAAATCATGATTGGCATACCTACCTTGAGTGCAATTTTGTGTTCTGGAAAATTGGGTACATTGATCGTATTCAGGACTTCTTCAGGTAACGCTTTATCGGTGACATCGGTCATTTGGTTGATTGAGACCGAGAACAAACATTTTCCGGGCATGAGCTTTACACATGTCTCATTTATTTCTTTGACATACTTATTTAAAGGTGTAATGATAGCTCGAGCCTTGTAGAATTCTGCCATCGATGTGACATGCGTAATTCTATCAATCAGTGGTGGATATACAAATCTGATCAAGGACATGGCCAGATCAGATGCACTTTTGCTGGTAAATATAATGCCACACTGAAGTGGAATCTCTGCGACCAAGTCAGTTTGAAGAGAGCCCTCGCCGATATCTAGGAGCCAATCGTTGAACTGGATCAGGCGCGGGTCGGGATTGTTTCTTGATAAGCCTAGTAAGCGAATATTTGTGTGTAACTGAAAGCGTCGGATCCGTGGCCAAAGATAAGAATTTAACATGCACAGTTTTCCTTGAACAAATGCATTAGCTCTCTTGACCACTGGCAATGTCTGACGAAAATCGCCTCCAAAGATCACATTGATGCCACCAAACGGTATTGAATTTTGTTTTATCTCTTGCAACGTTCGATCGACAGCTTCAACGCAGAATCGGTTCTGCATTGAGATTTCATCCCACACTATGACCTGAACCTGAGCCAACTCCTGTCCTAATTTCGTTTTTGCGTCGAAATTGCAAACAGAGTTCGACTCGATCTTGACAGGAATTTTGAACCGGGCATGAGCTGTGGTTGCGTCCCTCAAGATAAGCGACGCAATCCCGGATGAAGCGACAGTGGAGACATTAATTTTTTTAAAGTTAAAGTAAGAAATTAACGTATTCAGGAGGTGAGTTTTTCCTGTGCCTCCAGGCCCATCGATATATATTCCCCATGCTGTAGAATTATTGGTTAAGCGCAAAACTTCATCGGCGATGAATCGCTGTTCAGGACTGAGGGATTGAAACCGAGCCTGAAAATCTTCTTGCGGGTCATATAAAGTTGATGATTGACTACATGTAAAAGAGCGAAATAAAGCCCATCGGCCTTCGTCAGGTTGGCTGAGACCGACGTCTGTGAATGTCTTCTGGTATTTGCTCAATTGCATGTGTATCTGAAAAATAGTGAAAGACCTTATATATTCTGCCGAGAGAAGAATGTCCCTATGGCCTCGGGTAAGAATAAATTTAGAATCATCGCCTAGTTCATCGATGAAGCTGTTCAACAAATTATCTGGATCAGATGGTGGCGAATGAACAAGTATGATACAGAACATAGCACACAAAGCACGGCCCATCATCCAACAAGAAGCCTCTTGAATAGCGGCTTTGTAATGTTCATCTGAGGCTAAGAGGCCCAAAGCCTCAGCAGCTGAGCGAAATGATAGATGTGTTTTGCCGCGGACAGTTTTCAAGTCCACATATCCTGTAGGCCCAGGCCTGTTGGCAAGAAGTAGTCGAAGGAAATACCGCTCGCCTTCTGAAATTGCGGCGAAGTATATTCGCCCAACTGCGTCCGAAGTCCTGATTCTAGGGGCCCATCTTTTCTCATCGGTCCACCAAAAATATTTAGGCAAATCTTGATATAGACAATCCCTGGCTCGTACTCCCAAGCCAGTAAGGTTAGTCTTGCACAGTTCAAAATATTCAGTCAGGGTTGTGCGTTCGGCTTTGCCTGATTTGAAAGATTTCTTAACCAACTCAGAGTCGAGGTAGTATACGCGTTGTTCCTTGTCTAGATGGAGCGATAGCCTTTGGACTGACGGAGATCTGCCATTCATCGGGAACTGGAATAGGCGATATGCGGCTAAATGAACGGGTCACATTAGTAAGAGCAAAGTTTTAGGAGCAGGGTTAAATACCTTCTGACGGTCCAATGTAACGGCCCTCAATAAATCGCTGAATCTCATCCCCGTCGGTTAGCTTCATTGAAGATCGATCGACTCCTTTGCATATATACTTGAATAAGTACTTCATAGCTCGAATTGTGAAAGGAATTTCGACGTTTATGTGACAATTGTAACGCAGTAAAAGAAATTTGTTATAAGGAACGACATGGCCATTGTTAAATTCCATGCCCATCTTCATGACCTTGCGCCCCGAATCCCTTCGGCGATAGTCAGGATAAGAATCTTCAGTCATTTCTGTCTCAGGTCGAAAAGGTTTAGGAAAACCATATTTGCAAAATCCATCTTTCCAGCAGTTTGATTTGATGCCGCATGGTCCGTGTAACATGTTCCTAACTACAATGTCGTATAAGTCTGGTTCCTGGGTAGGACATGGAATTTCAGCTGAAACCAGGGCATCGACGGCTAATGATGTCTTCGGAATATCTGAAGGGTGAAGCATAAGCATAATATGGGCGTGAGGTAGCCCTCTTTTCTGAAATTCGACTGTATAAACAAGCGCTTCGACTCTACCGAGAAAGGCATATTTGACAAGATCCTCAAGTAGTGCGTCCAATTTTTCGTGGAATATACGGGCGATCAGGTCAGCTCGATCACTTGGACTATGGTGAGGCGCTAGGGCTTCAGTCATTTCAGGCCATTTAGGGTTTGCAGTCATCGTAATGAACAATGCAGGCCTTCCAAACTCCCTAGATAATGCCATTGCGTCTTGATAAAGTTGCGTCATATTCCTAGGCGAGCCAGCAAATGTCGAGGGTAGAATAACACGACGACCTCCAACATCGGATTCGTTTTGGATAGATTCCTCCACAGATTTGTACAGGTCGGCCTTCAATTTTTTTTGATTGTGACGCAGAAAGTCCAGCCTGGAACGCTCGACGCAAATATACATATCAACCAATAACTCCTGGAACAACGACTTGCCATTGACAATGGCTGAGAATTGGCGCTGTTTATCAAAGCACATTGAGGCGTACCACTCGTCCTGGGTTACCTTACGACCTAAGAATATGCTTAGTTAGAAAAAATACTGCGGCCAGGTCAAAAGACGTCATGTGCGTACCCGTGGCTGCCATGGGCATATAGTCCGGAACCCATCCCTGTTCACCACGAGGAAAGAAAATGGGGAAGCGGAGAGCAAGATAACCCGGGAAGAGGTCAGTGACATGCGTGATGCCCCCATTGAGTTTATGGAGGACAATATCTCGAGGTGCAATTTGCTCTTCGTCATAAGTGTCGAGGACCATTGCGACTTCATTGACCCGAGGCTGGTTATACGTGTTCTGATCCTGGTTTGGATTTGCCAATGCTTTCAGGACAAAGGTCGCGGCTGGATTAATGCGTAGTTCTTGGGCAACAGTCCTGTAAAACTTAGCGTAGGAGTTGTGTTCGCTGACAAATTTTTGAAGAGCTAACAATATTTTTGAATCAATTGGAGCTCCACATTTATGTTTTCTCATCGCAACCTCTTTTTCATCATTACCACCTATGACATATATTTGGGCAAACTTTGATTCATCTTTTGAGGTAGGAATCTCCTCGGGGAGGTTGTGAAACAGAGCGCCGCATATTTTGAAGGTATAAATACCCTTTTGGCCTTGAACAGTATCGTCGACCGAAGCGCCAAGGGAGGCAAACGATAAAGCGTTGTTATAATTCCGGATCTGTCGTTGGAACTTTATAGAGGCTGTTTGATAATATTAGCTAACTATCTTATTCATATGTGAGCATGTACATACCAGGATCCTGCCCAGTGAGTAAGTCCCGGAGGAAGAGGGGATAGTTGGAGCCGCTGTAAGTGGCAGGAATCGAGACCTGGCCTTTCTGGCAACAAATTGAGTAAGATACCCGTGGCGCCTTTTTATCAATGCCAGTTCTCTCTGCCTTCCAATGAATCGCCCCACAGCTAAGGCATGGATCCGAGTATGAGCCCAATGAGTGAGGAAACGACCCTGGGAAAGCCAGTTTGAGATGTGCCTCATGATTTTGTTCAGGACATTTAGCGGCTGGACCTGAGCCAATCGACATTTAGATTAGAGCGAAGAATCGAGTTGGCTAAAGCCCTGAAACTGATTTGAGATTGAGGAAATAAGAAATAAGCAAAAGTGCTGAGAAATTAGTGTAGGACAAAAGTTGTGCTGAAGGATCTCCGCCTGATTTAGTAGTCCAGAAGAAGATCTCGAGTAGCGACCTGAATACATAGCGAGGTTTTGACCTTCATCTCGTCTACCAAGTGTCAACTTCTATTTCCGATAGACTGGCGAAAGCCCTGATCCTGGCCTGCGGCTAGAACATTGAGACTTGGCTAAATGCGTCGAACAAGAGCAGAAATGTTTACTTTAGGACTTAGCCAAATTGGAGTAATGGACCCTTCGAGCCGGATGCGGAATGACCAGATGGTTGCAATCCTATGTCTAGCCATTTTGGTATTTCGCCAAGACTAAGCAATCCTAAAGTCCAATTCCCGGATTAATTGAATCAGATCTGGTACCTGAGTCACATATTTCAAAAAGGAAACTGTAGAGTAGGAGCGGAGAAAAAGAAAATTATTGCATTGCAAAATTTGATGAACTGAAAAATTCCTTAAGAGAAGAATAATATTAGAAATAGTCTATGTTAAAACAGGAATTGGGCGCGTTCAAAAGAGTGGGAAGCCCTTGGGCCTGGCATCTGGTTTTTTAATTGACACATTTGTTGAGTTTAAGAATAGCAGCAGGGGAGATAAAGAGATGAGAGTTCAACGTTCAGGCAGGACAAAACGGAACAGAGGATGACAGGCCACAATACAAAATAGGGAGACAAACAGTGGGTAAAGAGGAATGGACTGGAATTTGGAACAAGTGATATCAAGAGATGGGAAAAAGTACTTATTACAAGAAAAGATTAGAAATAGTCTATGATAAAACAGGAATTGGCCTCGCTCAAAAGAGACCGAAGCGCGTTGGGCCTGGCATTCGGTTTTTGGATTGAACCATTTGTCGAGGTTAAGAGTAGGAGCAGGTCAGGCAAACAGATGAGCCTTCAATGTTCAGGCGGGACAAAACGGAACAGAGGAGGATACGCCACAATACACAACAGTAAGAGGACCAGTGGATAAGCAGGGATGGAATGGAAGTTCAAAGGTGTGATCAAAAAATGAAGATGAGTAGAGGGGAAGCGAAAACAGTTGCTTGACTAATATGTGTCCAGGTGCGGTCGCAAAAATAGATCCGAACAAATGAAAAAAATAGTTGCAGTGGCCACTGGGTGCAACATGATTGGCCAATTTGAAGAGGAGGCGATGGTTAGGTCCATGGTTATAAAACTATATATTCGGGCTACAACGAGTGATAGACTTAGAGAGGAGGAGTTGAACCGAGGTTTTTCTTGGCGCGCTTGGCATCAGCCAAGATTTGTTTTTGGGTCCTTTTTTTGCCTGTGGTTGGAGTGATTGAAGCGTAGTAGTTGTCAGACTCTCCAGGATTAGCGCAAGCATTATCAACGGTGGAGTCTATCTCTGTTGTGGGAGGGGCATGCTTAGGTTTCTTGATGGAATCGGGCACAGGTTCTATGTGAGGTGATTTGTCTCGGTCCTCAATGGAGATCCTAATGCATGTCACAGATCAAATTAACTTCTATCGTTGAGAAAAGTTGGAGGAGTAACTCACAATCCTGGTCGACGGGAAGGCAAGTTTGATTTATTACCTAGTTCCGAGGTAGAGATGACCGCTGATTGAGATCCTGAGGTTACTGATACGGATATGGCCTGAAAAGGTTGACGTTAGTCAGAGCTTATAACGAGGACCAGGGTAGTTCAGTGGGTACATACATTAACAATCCACATGTATAGGTCTTCAGAATACCCCACAATGTTGCCAGATATGAGTACCTCCCGACCAATTTGAAACAGGCCAAAGGTATTGGCCAAGTTCTTGCGACCGCCGACATGATATAAAGTCTTGAATTGGACTTGGGATTTAGTCTGCGAAGAAGGCGTCAGCATCTGAGCAGATCATGTAGCTGAAGGAGATAAACCTACCAACGGGTCGTAGTCTGTGTGTTGGAGCGTGACATGTAATATCTTTGCAGGAGAAGATGCGTCGGAATCGAGGACCTCCTTCTTGGAAACAACAACCCCGAGGCCAATGACAGTAGATTTTCCAGCGATTGATTGAGAGAGCTGCGTAGTTTCGCCAAGATCTAAGGTGGTATCGGCATCGTAATGGAACACAGGTGTAGTTTTGATGTTCCGGGGAATGAACCGTCCAGACACCAGATATACATGATTTTCGATTAAGGCAGTAATGGCAGATCCATAACCACAAAGCTTGACGAGGATATTTTTCTCTTGTTGAGTCTCGGTGTCAGTGAAAGCTACCGAAGTAGAGTAAAATAGTTGCCCGTAGGTGGAGCCAGGGGTTATTTTCTGCTCAAGCTGGAATTGAGCAAGAGTGCTAGTGGTGAGCTGCTGAGTCATAGACACAACTGGTCGGAGGGTAAAACGAAGCTTACTTGTTCAAAGATATCAGCGATAGTGCGACCGAGCATAGGATGGCTTAGTTTTTTGAGTGAGTTCATTGTTAACAGATTCAGAAGAGATGGATAGTGTAGAATTGGTAGAATTGTGGTCAGTAGGTACAGTGAGTCGAGGTGTTGTTGTCTACGTCGCTTAGGCTATAGTGAGGTCAAACTGCGGAAAGGGAGAAAGGAACCGAGGGATAATGATAAAGGGTGGACAGGTCCAATTGAAGGAAGGTCCTTAAATAGATTATCCATAGAAAAAGATTAGGCATATAGAAATCTCGGCAAAGGTTCAGGGTTAACGGGTCAGAAATCTATTACGGGTTTGGGTAAATTGAGCATAATTAAGTTCAGATTGCCAGCAGATTTGCCAGAATCGGCTCAAAATTGAATCAAATGTGAGGACAGTGTTTGTGTGAAAAACGACCAGAACGGCAAAAACAAAACAAAGGTGCGATTCTAGGTGTTCTGCATACGCCAAGGCTCGGGAAGATTTTTGTTTAGATGAGGAGGATAGCCATAGTAAATGAATATAGACAGGTTCGGGCAAGACAAAGCATACGTCTGAATATAAGCAACACTTACTAAGTATGGGTTTGATAGCGGCTAGCTCATTTTTAGGCGCAGTTCTAGGACGAATTCTAGGTTTGGTTCGTTGCATGGATTGGAGGCGTGTAGGAGGCAATTCATAGTTTGGGAATAGGCCGGATTTGGGAACAATTATAATAAGAGGCGGAAGTGGAAAGATTAGGATGCAGGGGGAAAGAACTTGACTGTTGAGTTTAATTGCTCGGATGACAAGACCAGGGCTCATTGGACACTAAGCAGCAGGACGTGCAAAGGTTGAGAATTGACAGGAAGTTGAGCGGTAGGAAGCAGGTTTACTGAGCACTTGTATTTAGCTGAGGTTTGGGAGAAGTTAGTTGCAGAATCGTGCGTAGGATTGATGTCAGGGTTAAGTTTTCAGGGAGAGAAGTTGGTTAACTCAACAGTAAGGGTAATAGGGAGACAAAAGGGCGAGGGTGAGTTATAGATGCAGGCAAGGGTGGAGAGGGGCAATTTAGATCAGGAGTCTGGGATGTATTATATGTGTGAGTGGAGTTAATCCACGGACATTGTGTAGCCTCTACTTGAGAGATAAAACTCGAAGACCATTCAACTTTATTTGAAATTTGGCCACAACTCTGAACTCAAACCTTTCGACATGGATGTAGTAGGCTGCGAAAAAATTTCCACTTCCGTTTTGATGAGGAGTCCGGGAGTCTTTGTCCTACGATTTGAAGAGGCCAGGCGAGAAGAGCGTTATTCTCAAAGGGAAATCATTTCCCCTCGGTATGATCTGGTGTTCCGCAGTCGAGAAGAAGTGGTGGCAGAGGTGGTCGGTACGAAGTGGATTTCTTTTAAAGGAAAAGTAGGCGGAAATCTCGTCGATGGAGCGTGGCAAGTCGAAGCTCAAGAAGTCGAATTATCAGACTCGCCTCCGCACGGGTTCTCTTTTCCGTCAATTCACGGCCCAATATTAAGCGGATACGGTTCGGTTGTGACAAAGGAACCTTTAGTCGTGAAATGGAGAATGGGACAAGGCCAGGTAAGCTGCTCAGAATGGAGTCATAGTTAAGTTGAAACTGATCCAATTTCAAGCCTAGTTATTGGAAAACGCAGAGTACGTCAAGATCGAGGGACATCGTGTCAATCGCTATATGGTTCTTGACTACGTTTCGGAAGGGGATCAAGTTTATTTTAATGGTCGGTGGACCGTTGGAACGGTTAACGAGGATTGGATACATATTGATGTGAGCTTTGACCTGAGTATAGCAAAGATAGAGTAACTGATGAATAGGGGAGTTGTAGGCACGAGTTGTAGTGGAGGATTTGAGTTAAACTTAGATTAGGCGACGGGCAAGAAGCAATCAATGTAGGCTACTATTCAATAGAGTATAAGGTCATTTGAATTGAGAGCTAACTCAGTGAGTTGAATATGTTTAGTTCCAGGCAGGGTATTGGAAACAAAGTGTTAGGATGAAACAAAGGTTCAGGCACAAGTTGAGATACAAGTCAGACTTAGGAGCAATACAAATAAGCTGAAGCGAGTAAAAGATCTGAGTAAAGTTTTGTAAGGCTTGAAATGAACAAAAGCCAAGATAGAGAGAATAGTAGTCCAGCTAAGGCCGAAGAACAGGCCTGAGGGGAAGGGACGTGAAGCGAATTTAGAAAATGTAGAAGGAGAGAACCTTTGTTTAGAGAGAGGGAGAGACAACATTATTTACGTTAGAAACGAATTGAGCTCTGAGTGTGTAGCAGTGAAAACAAACCTGAACATCGACAATGCCTTTTTTGTGGTCAAGGAGATAGCCGGAAATATGGACAACGGTTCCGGGAGTTGTGGATGAAATCTGACGCCTAATCGTAGGGCAGGTCGCGGTGATTCTGAACAGGCAAGACTGAAGAGGGATGTAAGTGTTAAGCCTTGCTGAGACTGAAAGTCAAAAATAGTTTACGTCAGAGGTATCCGGGTCAAAGGCCATGGTTTTAGTGCCATGGTCAATCAGTTTCAAGTCACCTGTTAACAATGGATGCGGAAGCGAGCGGATTCGAGGGGGTAGCACAAAATGATAAGAAGAGGATTGACACATAATTGTTATTTTAGTATTGGAATAGGATGCAATGAAGCGCCCTTCAAAAATCAACCAAGACGCAGCGTCAGGTTTGTCGCCGCGAGGAGCTGGAGTAAAGAGGTCAAAGAGGTGGCCTAGGATGGGAGCGGTGTCATTGTTTTGAAAAGACCATAGGTTAGAGTCCTGGATCTTGAACTGACGAAGAGCGGTGAAAGAGGGTTCCTCAGGAACAAAGGTGCAGCTTTTAATCTCGATCATGTTGGAGCAGGGATGAGGAGGAGATTTTGGGTGTTGGGGAAATGGGAAGGGCATCGATTCTATTTATGCCTCGGATTGAAGAGAATATTGTCTAGTAAGAATTGTTGTGTGACGGTTTTGCTGGAGGGAGATTCAAGTCAGAGACCTGGAGAAGAAGAGTAAAAGGAATGATTGGTAGATGGGGGTTTGGGGCGCGGGATCGATTGAATTGATTGGGGGAATTCAGGTTACGGAGAGTCCCAGGTTTGGTAATTTTAGCAGTCCTAAAGGTAAGATTTGCAAAGATTATCAGT